TTTGACCTTTACTCTTAACGGAACATTTTTTTCAGCCAGTCAGAAGCCAGAAGAAAATCCTTTGGAGAACACACACAGGCTTGACAAAGCAAAAGGCGATGTTCCAAACCAAATCTAGGTAGGTTTTTAATTTGAGCCAATCAGATGGTGGAATAAAAAGGCACAGGCTGGGTACCGTATTTTCCACACTAAAGGGCACACTGGATTATGAGGCGCACCTTCAATGAATGGCTTATTTTGTAATTTTTTTTCATCCATTGGGTGCACCACGTTATAAGATGCAATCTACAATGCATCCACTAGATGGAGCTACACTCAAGGAAATAACAACAGAACGATCAGATGTCAGTAAAACATATATAATAAAGCAGCGACACAGTTGACCTCACCAACAGCAAGTTATAACATTGTTCGAACCCACAACCTCTACACTGTGAGGTGGACGTGGTAAGCAGTCGTCCACCATGCCACATGCATTAATGTAAAAATTTTACAAATTAAAAAAATGTTTGTCACAGGACAGTGACAAATGAATACTTACTCAACTAATTGTTTGGACGACTCCTTTTTAGTATTACTTGAGTCGTGTTATTTTGAATTCTTGATTAAAATGTTTTGCAAGGGAGTGCTTGTGTTGGTTCACCTGGAAGACGATAAATCCTAAACTTTAGTTCTCCAAAGGCAGAATTATTCTCCTGCATTCTGACAGTGTTCAATTAGCCTGGTTTTGAGTGGTCTTAAAGTTAAAGTAATAGTTTATGAGGCACGTGGGTGAGGCCTGAGCTCAGAGGGCTGACTGGCTTTTGCCGTCATCGTATCGCTGGTACTGATCCCCAAGCAGCGGCTGGAATCCCTCCACCTTACGGGACCTGGCGCGTACGGCACAAGTGGTGGCCACGAAGATGGCGCCAACAACCACCAGGGCGGCGATGATGCCCATCGTGATCATTTCAGTCAGCGTGAAAGGTTGACCTTGAGAAAAAGCTGGGCTCAGAACAGCAGTCATAAAAATGAAGTGGCTTTTGCATACCTGGCCATTCGGCTTCGTAAGAGTAGCCGAGGTTTTCGGGGGCGGTCACGAACATCTCAGCATTGGTCACAGGAGGCCAGAAAGGAACCATATTGTAGCCCCGGTTATGACCAATCGGGGCATTTTGGTCAGGATACACGGCCGACCCTGCCAAGAATGTCCAACGTCGTCCTCGGTGTTGACGAGAGAGCGCTAACTAAGCATTTCGTGTCGCCAAAACCTACCTGGGCTGTGTCTCCGCAGCCACTCGTCGAAGATAGCGTCCGTGTAGGTGTGGAGCAGGACGAAGATGGGGTCGTTGGGCGAAAGGTGGGTCTGGCCCCCGGTGCCGTTCAGGAACAAGTGGGCCAGGTTATGGAGGCTCCTTACTGCGGGGTCATAGTTCCCCTGGGGGGCACTATAGCCTAGACCCCACAAAATACAGTCGACTTTGAAACCCGAACTACTTTGAAAACTGATAGTTGAATTTTTTTTTTTTTTAACTAAATTTTAACTCAAATGGTGACCCGACTTTAAAACTTGACCCTACTTTGACCTTTACTCTTAACGGAACGTCCATAACGCATTAATGTCTATCTATCCATTATCTGATCCACTTATCCTCGCGAGAGTCGGGGGTGTGGTGGAGCCTATCCCACCTGCCTTCAGGTAGCAGGCGTGGTGCACCTTGAACTGCTTGCCAGCCAATCGCAGGGCACACACCGAGAAACAACCATTCACATTCACACTCACAGTCACGCCTAGGGAAGATTTAGATTATTCCATTAACATGCCATGCATGTTTTCAGAACGTGGGAGGAAACCGGACTACCCTGCTAAAACCTACTCAAGCAGAGAGAGAACATGCAAACTGCACGCAGGAAGACCGGGGCCAGATTCGAACCCACAACCTCTACACTGTGAGGTGGACGTGGTAAGCAGTCGTCCACCATGCCACATGCATTAATGTAAAAATTTTACAAATTAAAAAAATGTTTGTCACAGGACAGTGACAAATGAATACTTACTCAACTAATTATTTGGACGACTCCTTTTTAGTATTACTTGAATCGTGTTATTTTGAATTCTTGATTAAAATGTTTTCCAAGGGAGTGTTTGTGTTGGTTCACCTGGAAGACGATAAATCCTAAACTTTAGTTCTCCAAAGGCAGAATTATTCTCCTGCATTCTGACAGTGTTCAATTAGCCTGGTTTTGAGTGGTCTTAAAGTTAAAGTAATAGTTTATGAGGCACGTGGGTGAGGCCTGAGCTCAGAGGGCTGACTGGCTTTTGCCGTCATCGTATCGCTGGTACTGATCCCCAAGCAGCGGCTGGAATCCCTCCACCTTACGGGACC